TTTAAAACTAACAATATACTTAACATATGCCATGGTGATTGCACACATGGGCATTTATCTCAGAGAACTGAACAGCTGTGTTGACACAAAAACCTGTCTATGAATGTTCATAGTAGCATTATTCTTAATAGCCTCGTACTGGAAACATCCCTCATGTGCTTCAGTAGATGAATGGTTAAGCAAACGGCTGGTACATCCTTAAAACGGAATGCTACTCAGCAACAAAAACAAATTACTGACATACACAACAACTTGGATGGCCTGCCAAAGAATTTGAACAGAGTGAAAAATGCCAGTCTCGAAAGGTTACATAGGTATGTATGATCCCAATTATATAACTTTCTTGAAATAAGCAGGAAGTGAAAACTAAGTTGGAGTTGTGAAGTGTCTCTCACCGTTAAAAGAAATGAAAGAAGACCTAAACAAATGGAAAGGCATCCTGTGTGCTTCAACTGAAATATTTAATATTATTAAAATGGCAATACTCCCCAAATCAATCTGTAGATTCAGTGCGATATATATCAAAAACCCAGTTGGCCTTTTTTTTTTTTCCAGAAATTGATTAGTTGCTCCTATAATTGATAAGGACAATTTAAAAATCTGGAATAGTCAAAAAAATGCTGAAAAAGAAGAACAAATTTAGAGGGCTCACACTTCTGATTTCAAAACTTACTGCTAAGCCACAATAATCAAGGCAATGCGGTGTGGTGGTGCCATAAAGAGACCCATAGATCAATGGAATAGAATTGAGAGTCCTGAGACAAACTCATACATTCATGCTTGATTCACGGGTGCCAAAATACTTCATTGGGAAAGAACAGCCTTTTCAATGAATGGTGCTGAGACGACTAGATATACAACACGCAAAAGAATGAATTTGGACCCCTATCTCACACCATACGCAAAATATAAGGGCCAAACTCTAAACAATAAATGCAATGTGCTTGAATCATCTCAAAACCATTCCACCCGCCCCAGCCTCCATCTGTGGAAAAATTGTCTTCCATGAAACGGTCCCTGGTGCCAAAAAGGTTGGGGAGCCCTGGATCTATCAGCCAGGTTCCCAGGGCTTGGAATGCCCTTGCATGACTAATGATTGTGGTAGGCAGCATGATAACACTGGAGATGTTCACACCCTAAAACCCAGAACCTGTTAACAATCACCTTACATGTCAGAAGGGACTTTGCAGCTGCAATTAAGTTAATGCTTTTAGATGGGGTGACTATCCTGGACCATGTGGGTGGGCTCAGTCTAATCACATGGGTCTTTAAAAGCAGAGGAAGTTTCCTGCTTTCCTGTCTGTGGTCTGAGAGAGATGTAAGTACAAAAGAAGGGTCAGATAGATGTGCTGTGCTGGCTTTGAAGGTGGAGGAAGGGATCCCAAGCCAAGGATTGTGGGTGGCCTGGAGGAGCTCGAAAAAAGCAGGAAATGGATTCTCCCCTGGGGTCTCCAGGAAGGAACACTGCCCTGCCC